AAACAAGGTTCTCCGCACCAGTGGCAAATTTACAGGGTGCACACCGACTCACGGCTTTCGACCTTCCGTATGTATACGACTATATAACAAAATTCTGCAGGAAATAAGCCGAGGTCATACAATTATCGTGAGAATGGTCATGTTCGCACTCACCTCCAGCTGATGCCGAGGTCCAGAAAATGTGGATCTATATACATCCACTCCCCCACACGCCTTCATGGCGTAGTGCTTAAGTAATTAAGCACAGGGACAACTTTACCTTAATTGTCATCTTCGCAGAACAAGACAAGGAGAAGCCTTACAGAAAATATAAGAGGCTTAAAATTGGCGGCCGTTCAAGTGATTAAGCTACAGTTGTAGTATAATCTACGAGTAAATAAGACAGACACATAATCTGCTTTGTAAAGTGTTGACTGGCAGAGAACTTGCATATAGCGCAAAAGGAAGAATTTTCATTATAAAACCATATGCACTATGTGTACACATGACAAAGGCTAAGCATATTCATAAGAGACACCCCTGTGGGAACATCAAGTCAAAGTCAAAGTCATGTTACAACTGACGGTCAGTCAGTCTGTCTGTCTTGGTGTCGAGCCCCAGCTGGGGCTCATAACCAGATGTTTCCTTCTTTGTGAAAGTTGCTGTCCTGTCCATTTGGGGCGCCCTCTCTGACGAGAGGCCGGGTATGTCATTTGTCAGTCAGTCTGTTTTAATATGTCCACTGTCTGTATTTACATAGACTTACAATACACACTTATTTCTTACTTTTATGTACAATATATACAAGGCCTCTGTCAGTCCAGGCTCAGTACAGCAGATTGCGCCCTATTTCCAGTATTATTTGCTACCACGGCAGTCTAGTCGCTTGAACGGTCGTATGCCTGACCGCCTCCAAGTTTAAGCCTCTTATACTTTCTGTGGCGGGCTTCGCCTTGTCCGATGTTGCGAACATTCTCATTCTCATGATTTTGTATAACTTCTGCTTGTTGCCTGCATAATTTTGTAATTAAGTCATATACGTACGGGATTTTGAAAGCCATGTGTAAATCGCGGAACGGTGTGCGCCTCAGAAAATTGCCAGTGGTGCGGAGAACCTTGTTTTGTAGGCGCTGCAATTTCACTAGATGGGTGTCTGCCGCAAACTCCCAGGCGGGACTAGCATAAGTCATTACAGATCTAATAAGAGCTTTATGGGGGGTCAGTTTAATGTTCGCGCTCAATCGCTCACTTTTGGAAAGGGAATATACTCTAATGAATGTTCTGAAGGCCTTGGCCTCGGTCATTCCTATGTGTAATCTCCATGTAACTCTCTTGTTGAAGATTACACCTAGATATTTTGCACTATTTACAAATGGAATATTTCTTCCATTTAGAGTAAGACAAGACTCAGGCAGTCGACGACCACGAGAGAAG